ATGCGCCATTCCTTGTGTTGGGCTCGGACACTCCTGAGAATGGACAAAGAACAGTTTATCAGGAATCTTTCTTAGGAGGTTGAAGGCCATTTCCTGGTAAATGATCTTTACCATGCCTATCAAACCCTAAGAAAACTTAACTCAAAGCCCTTCTCGCAGATGACTGCAGTCTACTCAGTGGATGGACAGATCATCTCAGATCATGTTGGGGTTCGTGAACGGTGGGTTGAGGTATATTGAGCAGCCGCACATGGTAGGCCTTCCAGCAATTATTTTGGATGCAAGTAGTATCAGAATACCTGTACCAGACTCCCCCATTAGCGAGGAACCTCCTACCCTAACTGAGGTTACGATGAGGATTTTTAGGCTGAAGGGAGGGAAAGCCGCAGGCATATGTGATATCCCTGCTGAACTGCTAAAGGCTGGGGTGAACCTATGGCATGGGGCTTACATACGGTCTTGACTGCTGTCTAGCAGTCTGGTTCCATTCCCCCTGGCCTGTTGAGGGGCTCAGCGTATCAAGAATCGCTATGGGAGATCCTCAGACTTAGGGGAATTCCAACATGAATTATTGGCATAAAAACAAGCCTATATACTGGTACTGATTGGTTGGGGGCCTGTCGAACTTCTTCCGCGTTAATTCAGTGACACAAGGCTGTGTCCTTGCACCTACACTTAAAATTACAAATCAAACGACGGAGAACTATCGAAATCAGCGCTTCCCATTATTTTTTCCTTCGTCTATCGACAGCGGTTTCGTATGTCACATTCTATTAATTGATATTGATTACATTTATAAGAAAATATGAGTTTATGAGTTCATCTACACGTACACATGTAAAATGATCATGTTGAACTTTTATAAATTTTCGCAATATATTTTTTGACCATACAAACATATTCTATAAAGAAAACATTTCATCGGTCGTGGAACACTTTTGGAGGTCTGAATATCCCCAAGGCTAAAGCATAAATGAAAACAGTGACTATTGTTACCTGCCATGACATATCATTAATGTGTTAATTAAAACCGTAGGCATACGAGAGACAAACCGAAGTTTCGCTCTTCTTAGCCATGGAACTATTGATACGAAAACATTTGATTATAAACGTTATATTCATATTCTTATCTGTGATAGTAGTGCAGATTTTCAATATTAATATATTATTACTAGTGCATGATGATTTAGTGAAAATGTTATTTCTTAGGACCACATCATAAGCATAGATGTACAATATTTTGTATCATATCACAATCCATATACCCATAACAACTGGAAATTAAAGAGAAAACATATATATGCACACACACACACACACACACACACACACACACACACACACACACACACACACGCATATATATATATACACATATACATACACACACACACACACACACACATATATACATATATATATATACATACATACATATATATATATACATACATACATATATATATATACATATATGCATATATATATATACATATATACATATATATACATATATATATATATATATATATATATATATATATATATATATATACATATATATATATATATATATACATATATATATATATATATATACATATATATATATATATATATATATACATATATATATATATATATATATATATATATATATATATATATACACACACATACATACATATATATATACATATGTACATATATATATATATATATATATATATATATATATATATATATATATACATATATATTTATAATGTGTGTCTATGCTTATACATTGTATGTATATATATCATATATATAATATATATATATATATATATATAATATATATACAACACACATACATACATATATATATACATATGTACATATATATATATATATATATATATATATATATATATATATATATATACATATATATTTATAAATGTGTGTCTATGCTTATACATATGTATGTATATATATATATATATATATATATATATATATATATATATATGTGCGTAGTGTGTGTGTGTGTGTGTGTGTGTGTGTGTGGGTGTGTGTGTGTGCGCGTGTGTGTGTGTGCGTGTGTGTGTGTGCGTGTGTGTGTGTGTGTGTGCGTGTGTATGTGTGTGTATGTGTGTGCGTGTGTGTGTGTGTGTGTGCGTGTGTATGTGTGTGTGTGTGTGTGGGTGCATATACTCATATATATATACACACACACATATATATATGCATATATATACATACATACATATATATATATATATATATATATATATATATATATATATGTAAACACACACACTCACATGCGCTCGCAGAACAACAATGATAATAATGATAAGAGTAATAATAGGTAATAATAGTAATAATAATAATAATAATAACAATAATGATTATATATATATATATACATATATATATATATATATATATATATATATATAAGGCCGTTTGTGTAGTTATGTGTAAATGCATCAAACACACAAAAAACGTATAGATAACTTTCAATATAAATTTCGCCCCCCTATCTCCACTTCACCCCAAGGTAAGTATGATTTTCTACAAGTATGACACGGGCATATATAGGTATATGATACACTTAATTTTGCGAATCTTTATTGCAGAAACTCCTGTGCTATATCTTTAGCATTTCTTTCAAAGTAAAGACTCACTTACAGCCAATTTAACCCCTTGGTGCCGGGTATGACGTGTACGTACGTGCTATGCCCATCGTGAGTACTTGTTAGATTGTTTTCACGCATAGATGGCAACACTTGTACTAGCTCCCCAATGAGCCAGTTACGAGCACCACCCGTCTCGCCCGTTTACCCGTTTCTTTGATTTACGAAATGTTTTACGTTATCTTATATTGCTGTTACTAATGTTAAAAAAGATTATAAAAAATATAATGTTTATGATAAAAATAACACCATCGATTTTCATAGCACTAGTGAAAAATATGTTTTTCCCGCCATTCAAATCAGGCGCTAGCAGAGCCATCTATCGGCAGACATTTCACGAAAAACATAGAAAGTGGGCACAATATTTTCCCATTTTTTGTTCATTTTCTCCGGCACCATTGGGTTAAGGAACCAAATGTAAAAGCAAAAAGTCAACAAAAGCAAACCCAGATAGTATATTTTTCCTGCAAATCAAATCACAGAAAAAAATCCAGATGTTGAAGCAAGAATCTCTACTCTTGTTGATATTGTTGACAATGCTGCTATTGTAGATTAAGGAGCGTCTCTAGCTAGGAGTCTGTAACATGTTAAAAGTCTGTTAACATGTTAAAAATTAAGGAATGTGTGTATTTCACTGTGTCTGTGTGTTTGTTGTTTAAGATCACGATACGAGATCCTCTAAAGGTAGAAAGAGAGGGAGTCATGCCAAAGGCAAATGGTTGAGCCCGAAATACCTGAGATTACTGTAGTAATCGTGTCATTTCTGGAGTAGATGTGGTCGTAGAAGAGGTGGCTGGAGTAGACGTGGTCGTAGGCGCGGCTGTGGGCCCTCTTTCGACGCAGCAGAGGCAAGATTCCCTGAGGCAGCGGCCCGCAAGACCGATCTCAAGCCTCCCACACGAGCGGTTGCAGTAGCCTCCCATATCTGCGCAGGCGGAGGTCTCAGGGCAAGGGTCTGAAAACAAAGTTTGCTTTAGACAAGTAACAGCGCATGTTAGCAAGAATTACATTGCAACACGCACAGCGATATTATCTCTATATACATGTACATATGCATTCATATATACATAAACACACACACACAAGCATATATTATAGGGTTATGTTATGCTATATCGATGGTCTTATAACATGGGTTTAATTTTCCTTTGTATTTTACCCTTCGTACGAATATACTTACATTGATTAAATGTAAATGTTAAAACTAAATTGTACAAATCAAGCACAAACACTGTATTACACTGCACTACATCCCTACATACATATTTAACCATTGCTAGAATCTTGAAGGGGTGGGTGCTTCATGCTCATTGAAGCAATGGTGTGGTAGTCTGGTTTGTGTTAATTGCTTGCAGCTGCCATCGCTGGCTAGCCTGGTGTGAAAAGGGAGCAGCTATGCATGACTCCTCTGCCAGCTCATAGCCTCTCCATCATCAAGACTTCTGCAGTACCTACTCGTGGAAACTAGGTACCTTGTGGTCGTAGGCTGAATTGTGGTGGCTCTTGGAGCAGCCTGAGGCCCTAAGGGTACGGGGTCATGGTCAACCAGTGTCTGGACACACACTGGCTTTGTACTAACTCTTGCCCCTGTGCCCCCTGGGTGGCCGTTGGGAGGCAGGCCTTGGTAGTCTGCCTCCCCAAGATAACCTAACTGGCAGCAAACCTTATAGATGTTGGGCCTGAGTCCCTCTGGGTTGGCGACCGCTGGTCGTCCTGTCTGCATCCTGGCGGCCGCTTGTGGGGCAAAGCCCCTGCAGGTGGATTTATAGGGCCTGCAGCCAGTCAACCCTCATTATATGGGGCAGCGTTGGTGGGGGTGGAAGAGGTGGCGTCCACCTCTAGTGACTGGTCAGGCCACAGCGATGGCCACCATCTCCATGTCCATGGAGTAGCCATAACCATCTCCAGCAGACTTCAAACCTCAGTAGTAGAGGTCACTCCAGTCGATGAGTGTGTAAAGGTATTGAGACTGGAGCTTACATTTGACTTGTCTGTTATTGCTGTGTATGCTACTCCTGATTTATGTAAAATTGATGTGAAAGAGATGTTTTATGCCAAGCTTGCTTCTGTGACAGACAGCTGTCCTTGGGGAGATATTCGTATAGGAGCTGATGTTGGCAGTGTGAATGGCCTCCTTTTCTGGGACTTTGCTAGGTCCCAGAAATGGAAGATTTCTGGCTTCTGGTATCAACGTTCTGACCCACAATGTTGGACTTGGTATAGCAATATGGGTAATGTGGCCAAAATCGACCACATCCTCGTTAGCACTTGCTGGAAGATCCTCGGAGCACCGAGTTCTGTGGAACTGATCATAAATTAGTTGTGGCTACTCGCCGGGTCCACTTCAGAACTCTCCATCGCTACAGTAAATACGTTAAGGAGTTTCATGTGGACAGATTAAGGGAGAGGGAGAGAGGGTTTGCTGAATCTATCTCTGGTCGTTTCGCAGCACTCGGAGGCCTGACGGACCTTGTTCTTTTGTGGGACACCTTCAAGTGTGAAATGCTCAATGTAGAATCGATTGCTGTAAAATGTGGTGGGGGCCTGTCAAGCTTCTCCCCTATTAGTTCAGGAGTGGGGCAAGGCTGTGTTCTTGTGGCAACACTGGATACTGGGTAGGGTTACTGTCCAAAGTCACTGTGGAGCAACTCACGGTTACATAACTTGACTTTGCTGATGATATTACCATTCTATCTGAATCTCTGGAAACCTTGATGCATTTAGCAAAGAAGTGAAGCCCCTGGGGCTACAGGTCTCCTGGACCAAGACCAAGATCCAAGACTTTGGGGCCTGTTAGGATATCCTGGTCAGTCGGTACGTACTTGCAGTTTATATACTTCGGTATACTAAATACTCTCGACAAGAGTATTTGGAGATGCACTGTCAAACTAGTACAGGAAGTGTTACTTGCACAATCCGCGATCACCAACTCAGGCTATATGGCCACCTGGCCATATAGCCTGAGTGGCGCGCGCGTGTGTGATTAGTCATGTCTGCTTGTGTGATTTTGTGCTGCAATTGTTTTTGGAAGTCTGAGAGATACAAGGGTTCCCTCAGAGCTTTGACCCCAAATATAGTGGAAATGAACATTATTCTATCAGAGATGGATGGTAGGTTAAGTTCTAACCTCATGTTCACTATCCTTGCTGTTCTCGGGGCGCCGAGGATAATCCTCATTGCTTCATTTTGCACTACCTCCAAGCTATTTATTTCTGGTTCCTTGCACTGCAACAAGTGCAGTGCATGGTAGTCTACAACTGATCTTATAAAAGCCAAGTAAAACAGTCTAGCGAGCTTAACATTGATGCTATGTTCTCTTCCAACAAGGACTTTCAACGGTTTCAGTCTCTCCCAGAGTCTCCTTTTCAGAGAAAGGATCAGGTCTGCATCATTTATGTTCACCCCGAGATATTTATATTTATGACACATGTCAAGCTCTTGGTCACCTATGCGATAAGTGGGTAGGGGTATGATACATGGATTGAGAGCAATTGTTTTCTCAGCGGATATGACTAATCCACACTCATGAGCCCTAGTTGTGAGTTTGTCGAGAATTATTTGCATCCTCTCTTGTGATGATGCTTTGACGCATATGTCATCAACATAACATATAATGGATTCACCATCCCTAAGTCGAATATCTGCCACCAGCTTGTGCATGAGGACATTGAACAACATAGGACTGAGAACTCCCTGCGGCGTCCCAAGTTCAAAAGATTGTGAAGTGGAACTTCTCACACCCCTGAACAAGACACTTGCAGATCTGTTCGACAGATACATTCTAATCCAGCTCAATGATTTACCCCGGATGCCAAAGGTTACTAATTGTTCTAGGATAATTTCTCTGTTTGCAATGTCAAAAGCTGACTTAAGGTCAAGAAAAACAGTGTGCTTCCCTGGATTAGAGTTTGAATAGTACTCTGCAAAGCAATGTTGTGTGCTACGTCCTGATAGAAATCCGTATAGTCTGTGAGATAATTTACCTTGCAACCTGTACCTGAGTCTGTTCAAAATTATCCTTTCTGGAACTTTGCATATACATGAGTTTAGTGAAATTGGGCGGTATTTATCAGTGTTTGGTTTCGGTATAGGGATGATTAGACTGCGCGTCCAGAGGCCAGGCAGAATACCTTGTGACAAACTTAACCTGCACAAGTGCAAAAGGGGATTACCAGGTACCTGAGCTATAAGGCAGAGGACACTATATGTAATTCCATCCTCACCAGGTGCAAACGCTTTTCCTTTGATCAGTGCATTGTCCAGTTCCCACTCAGTAATCTCAGCAAAGTCTGAAGGGTCGCACTCAGAACATCCAATCTCAATGGCAAATTTACATGCAATTTTAGTATAACTAAGGTGATTCTGAATATTTGTGGGAAGTGAGCTCAATTTGGACGCTCCAGCCCATTGACTAAGGAGCATGTCTGCTTGTGCAAGAGGGCTATGGAACTGCGGGGTGTTAGTTGGTTTGCCTGAGAGTCGATTGATTTTTTTCCAGACCTCAGACATTGAGGTGTTGTTATTAATGCTCTGTAGGAACTGTTCAAAGTATTCTTTTCTGAAATGAGTTTTTAATTCCCGTAGATTTTTGTTAGCCTTAAGAAACTAAATAAGATTGTCACAGGTATTGTCCTGCTTGTACATAGCAAGAAGCTCCTGAACTCGCTTTTGTTCCCTTAATAGTGTAGGGTCACTGACCCACTTAGGTTGTTTTAGGCGTTGTGAATTGTTGCTTTTTGAGGTTTTCTTTGGACAGTCCCAGGTGTTGTAGTAATCAGTGACCACTTTTGTCATGTCCATGGAGAATTTATCAACACTCGTTACTGTGTAGTCGTTATACCAGTCATGAATACGTGCTTTAAAGTGGTGCTCAAGGTAAGGAGGAATAGAAATTTTATCAACTATTATTATTATTATCAACAGCGTATCTCGTTACTATTGCAAAGTGGTCACTGATTAACTCTGTTGCAAGCATGCTGCTGACGTTTCCATGCACAAGATCCCTTCCTATTACATAATCTAGCCTGCCCCCCGCCACGTGAGTCTCCCTGTCTGTATCATATACGGTCATGGATCTATTGTTCACAAAATTTCGGAACTCTTCGCCGTTTTCATTGCATTGACTGTCTCCAAATGTATAGTGTCTAGCATTGAAATCCCCCATGCATATTGTGCCGTGTTTCTGAAAGCTAGGCAGTGAATCAGTTTGAAACTTTCTACACCTTGCGTATACATTGTACAGAGAGAAAAACCCAGAGGCTGTTCGAATATGTAAATGCTGATATTGCACATTATTGTCATCAGACTTCTGCACCAGCTTATGCGGTATGGTGTCACTGAGATAAGTCAAGAGGTCTGTCATTCCTGTGTTCGTATAGGAGTGGTACCCTCTAATTCTAGAGGCGGTTTTTATTTTTGTGGCTGATGTGAAGGGCTCTTGTAGACAGATAACGTCAACATTATTGTTACGAATGTAGCAGAACAAGTCATTAATTCTACGGTTGACACCACGTATATTCCATGAAAAAAACGTAATTATTTTCTTGTCCCTCATCATACCCTATGATTGGCTGATTGGTCAACTGTATGTTTGATTAGGCTCTTTAGTCTGCAAATTTCTTGCACAGCATTACATATCTGTGCTGCATCTTGTTTATTTGAAAGTCCAAACAGTTGATCAATTCCCGTAGAGTTTTGTCCAATTATACAAAGGTACGCAAACTATAAATACATACACAAACAGTACATAGATATATACATACATGCATGCATACATACACACATACATACATACATACATACATACATGCATATATACATACATGCATGCATACACACATACGCATATGCATACATGTACACATGTATGTGTGTGTGTGTGAAGATGTGTGTGTGTATGTGTGTGTGTGTGTGTGTGTGTGTGTGTGTGTGTGTGTGTGTGTGTGTGTGCGCGCGCGCGCGCGTGTGTGTACTGTTATCCAAATCCTCAATTGCAGTTTTTAACATAGAGGTAAATTTTGTTCTTAAATACAAACCAATCTCGTATTTTTCTTTTCGTAACTATTAATTCCAGATTCCATATAACATTATTACAAATACATATAAAAAAGAAAATAGAATAAGAAAAGAAGCAAATGAAGATGACAAAGAAGAAAAACAAATAACAAATAATAAAGAATAAAACTGATAGAAATAATAATGATAATAATAATGATAATAGTAATAACGATAATGACAGTGACAATGACAATGACAATGATAATAACAATAGCAATGACAGTGGCAATAACAATGATAATGATAATGAAAATGATAGTAATAATAGTAATAATAATAATGATAATAATAATGATATAATAATGATAAAAATAATAATAATAATGAAAATGATGATAAAAGTAACTAATGGAAATGATCATGATAACAAGAATAGCAATAATAAGACGCAAAGAACAAAAGGAAAAGGAGAAGACGAAAAGGGAGCCGACGAGGTTGAAGGAAAAGGAGGAAACAGGGAGCCTCACCCTGGACGCAGCAGACGCAGCCCCCTCCCCTCCCGCTGCGCACGACCCCCCCCCCCTTGCTTGGACTCACTCAGTCCAAGCAAGTCGCAGGCACTCACCTGGCACGCAGCAGAGGCAGTGCTCTCCGTTGCAGACGCCCTCGACGGCTCTCTCGCCTCGGCCGCACGTGGCGTTGCAGCTGCCGCCCAGCACGGTGCAGCAGTTGCTCTGCTCACACGGGGCTGGTGGAGAGCAGGAAGAGTTATGGGTGAAATTTGACACGTCAACTAACAGGCAAGGGATGAATATATAGAAACAGACACACACACACACACACACGTCCCCCGTACCCTTGACGCAGCACTGGCACGTTTCTTTGCACACGCCATCGATAGGCGCCTCGCCCTCGTAACACACCTTGCCGCAGCTTCCGCCGAAGGCTTCGCAGCACTTGGTCTGGTTGCAGTTGTCTGTCGGGGAAGGGATCGATCACAGGGACTGGGGTTGAATGCGATAATTGGCAATGGAACGGCTAGTAGGATAGCTTCTATAGCTACGTTACCTTTAATTCTGATTTTACAGACCTTGAAAAGGATGCTGATAAAAATGGCAGCTGCTTGTTTCAGCCGTTAGTACCAGCCTTAAATCAAAATAAAAGTCTAGATCTTTAACCATTCACTCAATGACGATAGAAAGACACACGCTTACTCTGGACGCAGCAGGTGCAGTTTTCGCCTCCGCAGAGCCACGGGACGGCCAGCTCGTCGGCCTCGCAGCTCTCCACGCAGCGCCCGTCCAGCGCCTGGCACCTGGTGCTGTCCGGGCATGTGTCTGGGGGGAGAGGGGGCACAGGGCATTCAGTAGGTTCAGTAAAATAAGTAAATGAGTATATAAAAGTAAAACAAAAACAAAAAAATGAGATGGCGTAGTTTTCAATACCAAGACGGGAAAGGGTAATAGAAAAAAAACTAAGAATATGGCAATTCAAAACCAGATAATATGGGAAAGCGTAGGCAGAGAATTATTCAACGGTGTACCAAATTCTTTACTAAGAATATACCAAATCAGGAAACAAAAGCAAAGCGGAATGTTAACTAAGAGTACAAAAATTACAAACTAACAAACAGCAGCCTTGACACCTACAAAAACGGAAATTATAAACTAGGAATATGGCAAACAGCAAGCTAAGAATATGCCAAATCATAAGCCAAGAATATTGCAAAGAGGGAAACATGAAATTACCTTGGAAGCAGCAAACACAGTCTCCCACACAAAGATCTTCTTCTGCAACTTCTCCATCGTTGCAAGCCCGGTCGCATCTCCCTCCAGAAAAGCTGCAGCATTTACTTTGCGTGCACTCCTCTGTTGCAAAGAAAACTTACTAATTATATTGTGATGCTAACAAAAAGAAAACGGAGGTAAGTACAGTAGTAGCATTAATATTACCGTTACCAAAAAGGATAGCAAAGATGATGGATAATGAAGATAACAACAGAACAAACATCATGAGAGGTGATAATGGTTTGTCCTAATAAGATTAGAGTACCAAAGATTGTCATCAACCACCATGGATGTCATGGCATAAACAAACATTACTTTTCACGCAGCAGGAACAGTTTCCGGAGAGACATAGATCAGGGTAATCGAAGTCATCGTCTTCACAGGTCGAGTCACAATGGCCTCCCATGAATGCGCAGTTGACCGTATTCT